ATTTCACAGTGGAGATTACAGATACAATGTTCTCTTAACACCAATAATAATGTTATAATTTGATTGCAGCCAACACTGATCCGATTTCACATTCGATAGTGATGTCTGGTGGCACCTCTCAACTGCATGGCTCAAGAAACAGCATAGCACAACAAAGAACGCTGCCAGTACCAAGCTCAGTTGGCATAGCCATGACCTCGACAAATGTCACCCAGTCAAATCTGGTTGGCGGTTTTAGTCCATATAACTTCAATCAATTTATCGGTGGTAACCAGTTGCCTAGCAACATGATGAACACCAGCCATGCAGCAGGGTTTTGATTCATGTTTCAGTCAGTAACTGTTTTATTGTATTAATAATAATGACAAAAACGATGATGTAATTACTGTGATTGTAATGTTACTAGGTGCATAAAAGGACTGTGAACATATAGAACTAATGTTCTATGTGGTGTTACCGGACTTGCACATCTCATGCATGCACAACAATGAACTACTCTATTTTGATATTCAAATTGTTGTTTGAGTTCATTTATACACAATTTCAGTCTGTGTCAATAAAAGCTCTTGGGTATTTTGTATTTCTGTTTTGTCTTATTCAGATCATGTAATATTTTCTTTTATTTGGAGAAAGGAAAGCAAAAAACTGACCTGTTTTGGTGTCTGTTAGTGTGCGATGAGCCTCAATCCCAATAACAGCATCAGTATACAGACTCAATGACAGCGTTCATTTGATTGGGGTGGGCATGTCACCAAATGAGGGCTGCCTCTTTAGAATTTGGAATATTATAAGTGGGTTCAGTTTTGTACTTAATTCTGTATTCTTTTTTTTTTCTGTCCTCCAATCCAAGCTTTTTCTTCATTCATTACAGCTGGAAGTAACCCACACGTTGCAGTGTATGAATGAATTTAATATAAATAATGTATTTTACATCAGAGCCTTATTAAACATGATCAGGTATGACCCTTACAGTGTAATTGACATGCTTCGTGTATTTTGCTGCCTAGAGACAAATTATGACATGCATGTATCAGCAGCATGTAGAAAAAATGGAAAATTTCAAGATGGCAAAGTAAACTTCTGTGCAGTGTTTTCCCTGTACATAGCAAGAGAAACAAGAAGATGCATGATATTGTGTACATGGTGCACTGTAAGGGTTAGCACATGTAAACTGATTCACATGCATTATCTTTAAGGGGTGCTGTTTTATAACCTCCCTGCAGCAATTACTTCATTTATCATATTCTCTGTATATTTCTGACCTTGCAGTCCTTTTACATTGTTGTAATCTTGTATGAACATTTGCTTCCAGACTAAATGTCCCCCTTTGAATAAAGGGGTCCTTGCGAGAGACACTTTTCTCGAGTGTTATATATAGATACATACATACATGTATGAAAAAAAGTGTGTGTGTGTGGGAAGGGGGGGGGGTTATTTACAGGAGAAAACATACTGTATTGGTAATGTAAGGTTACTACCGGTATTTGTCCATAGTTCTGAAAAGACGGTCTCAGAGAAAATACAACCTCGATAAGCATGTACAATTTAGAGTACGAGGTGTGTTTAGTTGTAATTTTTTTTTTTTTTTATCTTAGCTTGTAAATCAATAGTTGTTATTTTGAATTTGATTGGGTGGCATTTTACCCAATCATTTACAATTCATTCTTCATGTAAATTTTCATTGGCTGACATATAACCAATCATAATGTCTAAGAAGACTATGAACTTTATAAATATTGTCTTCGTTATGGAAGTTTAACATTAACCTTCAAACATTTTTTAAAAGAGTGTATCTATCACATGTCACACTGTAAAGCTAAACCATAGTTTAGGCCATTGCTATGACTACCATATCTAGCTAGAGAAAAAGAGATTTTCTTAAAAATATGACTGTTACAACAAAGAATAGAATGTACTTGCTCAGTAGACTGTTACTTGCAGTACCGGTAGTTATGGTGCACAGTAATTCCTAGACGTGCATCAAATTAGAGAACATTGCAGACAAGATGTGATTCATTTAGTTGTGCTATATCACTTGTGTGTCAGAAAATCTTACATTGATATAGTGAACTTGAAAAACAGTTTATTTGGCAAAATGAAATTCACATTTTGTAACCAAAAGATGACAAAACTTGTTAGGAAAATACATTTTGTTAAAGAACACACCGGCAAAGACAGTATTTATAACTGGTGTATTACATGTATATACAAGCTAACAGTGTAAATACAAAGTACACACTATTCTGTCCTTGTTTGTACCATTTCAGAATAGTGATAATATGATTGGTTCACTGCGTCTGTGTTCGTCACAAGATAGTTAGTTGAATGTTCTACGTCATTTTCAGATTTTCATTTTCTTGCCTTGTATTTGCGAACAGTAATGTTTGCATAAATAATTTATATCCAAAACACTGCCATCATAGCCCTTGTTGAATATTTGTTCAATATTCTGGTAATTTACAATGTTGAATTCCAAATCTAATAATAATTGCCTATTTTGATGAAAAATGTTGCCTCCTGCATTATAATCTTTGTAGTATTTTTTTCATATTATTTTTAAAATGGTATCAAGACTTTTAGCTGAGGTGAAATTGTGTTTATTGATCAAAAATTAAAAGCAATCATGGAAAACATCAAAAATGTTTCAGCAAAATTTTGGCGAGAAAAGTGTTGACGTTTAAGGGTTTGGATAATTTTCTCACTATTGTAAGTGTGAAACGAATTCAAACTTGTAGTCCTCAATTGACATTACATTTTGTGGAAATAAAAGTTTCTGAAATTCATATGAACAATACAAATTTGCCAATCCTATTTTGTCGCATTTTAAAATACATCATTTAAAAAAAAAGATCAAAAGACGATCTGAGTAGGACATGTCAACCCCCTAGGCTGGGGTGGGTAGGATGTCTGGGGGGGGGGGCGGCGTCTTGTATGATGTATCGTTCATTTTTCTTTCTTAAGTTTGGAATATCAAAGATTTAATCATAAGATTTATTAAAACAGTTATTAAAAGTTTTTCAAAAATAGGTTGTGTTCCAGTTTTGATGACCCTTTAAGTTGATAAGAAAAGAGTATTTAAATCTCTGAAGTTAGGTGGCTCTATGGATGATTTAACTGCTGTTAAACGTTTGTCTGTAAAATATTGTCCATGGATTTTCTCTATTATGACCTATATTAGGTTTTACTGTTAATAAAGCATTATAGCTTATTGTGATACAAGTGTGAAGTTAGCCTATGATTTCAGCTATGAGTGGCAAATAATGGATATCGGAAACCATATTGCATATAAATTATATTACAAATATTTCTGTGACTTTCTGAGATTTGTAGCAGTTATAAAGGCAGATGATACTATAGTTGTATGTAATGTGTAATTGATTTCATGAGCATTTGCTACTTATCTGAATCAAAGGCTAGTTTCATTCTGTGTTTTTGACTTCAAGGGTAAAGAGCAGTGGAGCATGTAGATGTATTGATTTTAGTCAGATTAGTTGTAACCAACTGTTCATGCAAATAAAATTTGTCTTTAAAAATTTATGTATTGTCTATGAATGACTACACAAACCAATACAATTATCTATTGTCTTTAAGGTAGTAACAGAAAAAACAAATTAAAAATTAATCTGTAATTCAGACATTCTATAAAAGTTACTATAACAACTTGTATATCATCTGAAAGCTTAGATTTAGGCAAATACTGTACATTCTGGGACCTTGATGCTCATAATTTAATTTTTCAGATCCAATTAAAAATGGACGACTGGCGGCCATTTTATTTTAATGAATGCAGTTCTAGTGCCATATCTCTACCTGATTATGATCAAATTTTATATATGATAGGAATCACCAACTTTGATGAAATGTTGTGAACATGTTTAGATAATAAATATTTCTAGCATTAAATTATTTACAGTAAATTCACAAGCTACATATAATATAAGGTTTTATTCCATAATAAACGGAACATTATAAAAAAGCATAATGATACAATCCAGACATAGAACTAAAGGTTACCAATATTCCAAATAATAAAGTAAGAAATCTGACAAAACTATGCATAATAAAATAAAATGCATTTTAATATACTCCATATCATAGATGATAATTTATCATAAACAGGCAAGAGTATTCGTATAACAAGTCTAATATACATCAGGTGCAATGATTCTTGCAGTACATGCTAAAACAACCAGTGCACATTTGTATTAGAATGTCATTGTTTCTTTCAATTATACTCTGATACAAAAACATTTTCAGTTTGATGTATTTATATAAGGTACATTCAAATTATATGTCCTCTTATATTGCATTCCTAAATATACAAAGTAAAACATAATTACACGCCATAAACATCTCAACAGCAGAAATGTTATCTGCATGTATTTGATCATTTAAACTGATGTGTTTAGTGCAACAATACTTGTTGGAATAGGATTAAACAAATGCCAAAATGCGGATCAAGTAAAGAAAGTGAGTAAAAATATTGTGTGCTTTTCATTACACTTTAATGACAACCATGGGTTGAAATCTCAATATATTGGCTTCTAGGAAACACTACATATGATCTAAATATGAAGGAAACAAGCTTTTAGAATGTTAATGAAAAAAAAAAAGATGTATCCAAATTAGTGATTATAATTGCTGCCCATGGTTCTTCACACAGATGTGGAGCAAACAGCCTTTTAGAATTTCAGTAGAAAACCAACAATATAGAACAAATTCATTATGAATAACTTCTAGCCACTGCATCTCACAATATAAAGGCAGTTGGGTCTTGTGATCTTGCATCTATCAATAACTTATCATACTGGGTACCTTAACCTGTTGAATGATGCCATGATGATGAAATAGGCTCTACCAGCTTGTATTGTCTATATAACCACAAGTGCGAGATTCCTTGTGTAGAGGTCCCCCCCACCCCCAAGAAACCAGTGAGTGTATATTGGTTCTACAGTCTCAAAGGTACTCCCTGTGTCTATCAGATTGCATTTTCACAGTATTGTGTGTATTGTCAGGGCAAGTCGCGGCTTTCTCTGGGCATACCAGTATGTTCTATCAAGGCATTCTGTGTCTTTGTCTGGGCATACCAGTTTGTTGTATCAAGGCATTCTGTGTCTTTGTCTGAGCATACCAGTTTGTTGTATCAAGGCATTCTGCGTCTTTGTCTGGGCATACCAGTTTGTTGTATCAAGGCATTCTGCGTCTTTTTCTGGACATACCAGTTTGTTGTATCAAGGCATTCTGCGTCTTTTTCTGGACATACCAGTTTGTTGTATCAAGGCATTTTGCGTCTTTGTCTGAGCATACCAGTTTGTTGTATCAAGGCATTCTGCGTCTTTGTCTGGGCATACCAGTTTGTTGTATCAAGGCATTCTGCGTCTTTTTCTGGACATACCAGTTTGTTGTATCAAGGCATTCTTTGTCTTTGTCTGGGCATACCAGTTTGTTGTATCAAGGCATTTTGCGTCTTTGTCTGAGCATACCAGCTTAAGACATTGTAGGTCTTTGTCCAGGCCTTCCAGGTTGGGTATATGGATGAATACTGGGTTTTATATTTGTCTTAATGCTGCTTGGTGCTTTACCTACAAGTATATGACACAGGGTTCTGTTTAGACAGGTTTGACTGTATAACAAATACACAGGGTTCGGTTTAGACAGGTTTGACTGTATAACAAATACACAGGGTTCGGTTTACACAGGTTTGACTGTATAACAAATACACAGGGTTCAGTTTAGACAGGTTTGACTGTATAACAAATACACAGGGTTCGGTTTAGACAGGTTTGACTGTATAACAAATACACAGGGTTTGGTTTAGACAGGTTTGACTATAACAAATACACAGGGTTCTGTTTAGACAGGTTTGACTGTATAACAAATACACAGGGTTCTGTTTAGACAAGTTTGACTGTAACAAATACACAGGGTTCTGTTTAGACAGGTTTGACTGTATAACAAATACACAGGGTTCAGTTTAGACAGGTTTGACTGTATAACAAATACACAGGGTTCGGTTTAGACAGGTTTGACTGTATAACAAATACACAGGGTTCGGTTTAGACAGGTTTGCGTGTAAATACAACTTTTCACTAGAATCAGTGTACAATACAGTACACAATATACAATCAAAGAAAGCTTAGAAAGAACTCCTGTGTGCTGAAAGTATTAGAGACACAGTAAAAATTAATTCAAAATTACTTGTACTTGAGATAATGATGGAAAAGCTGAAAACTAATTATGCAAATCAGAAAATTAAAATGAACAGAGTGTAAAACTAATAAAGTCTGCGCAATGTAACAGACCATCTTTGTACCAAGTTTCATTGAAATGTGATCAGAACCAAACAATTATGAATTATTATGCTAATTAGGGAACAGATTTTAACCCAAAACTGATCATATGTGTACATTGTCCTAGAGCATCTATGTACCAAGTTTCATTGAAATGTGATGATTAGTACTTGAGATATCAGTGAAAGTTGAAATTTATTAATTATGCAAATTAGGTGATTAATATGCATAAATATATACCAACAACTAATTGGCTCTCTGCATAGTCCTTGAGTATTTATGTACCATGTTTCATTGAAATGTAATGCTTACTACTTGAAATATCAAAGCTGAAAATTAATTTATTATGCACATTAAGTAATTAATATGTACTGATATTACCCTAAAAACTATTAGGTCTGTGCAGTGTCCTATGACATCTAAGTACCAAGTTTCATTGAAATGTGATGATTAGTAGTTGAGATATCAGTGGAAAAGCCGAAAATGTACTAATCATTATGCAAATTAGGTAATTAATATGCACATATTTTTACCCAAAACTAATCAAATCTGCACATAAGTTCAGAGCATCTATGTACCAAGTTTCATCAAAATCCAATGAGTGGTTCTTTAGATATCAGTGGAACAGTCATGGAACAGCTAAAAATGAGCTAATTATCATGCAAATTAGGTAATTAATATGCATGGATTTCTACTAAAACCTAATCAAATCTGCATATTGGCCCAGAGCATCTATGCACCAAGTTTCATCAAAAACCGTTGTATGGTTCTTGAGATATCAATGGAACAGACGAACACATACACACATACAGACAGGGTAACTGCAAAGACTCCCATTGTGTGCTTCGCACACGGGAGTCAAAAAGCCTGTCTACACCAAATATCTGCAGTATCTATGTCATGAAGAGGTACTCTATGAAGTGACATTTGTGAACTGGTCAGGATCTTACCTTGTACATCCTGTCTTGGCTGGAGTGATGGTTGTTGTAATGGTGCCTGCTGTACTGGTCGTATTTTCAGTCCTTTGCCAAAGCTAACTGCAGTAATCAGAGCGTTGGTGTCTGCTGGTTGACTCGTATTTATGCCTGACATACCTCTTATTCCTAGGCACAAATAATATTTCAATTTATTTATAAAAGAAAAATTCAAACATGTCATTACATCACAAGTAAAGTTGTAGAAGACATTTGCAGTGATGGTTAAAATTCATTTTTTTAAAATACATACACATGCCACATGAGCTTGTATATTTATTTTCTTTCAAAGATTTTTAAAAAAAAATTAAACTATACATGTATAACATATAATGAATATCTGGGAATCCAGAGCATAGCTAAGGCCTTCTGAGCCCAAACAATAATATTGTAATCTAAATTATCGTAATCCTGCAAATAAAATATTGTATGAATTACTCACCCGAGGCATGTACGTCCTTATTATTTCTGGAATTACTCACATGAGTCATCTACATCTTACTCATCCAAGGTATTACTCACTTCAATCATCTACAGCTCACTAAATCTCTAGAATTACTCACCTGAGTCATCTACAGTGCACCCATCTCTAGAACTACTCACTTCAGTCATCTACAGCTCACTAATCTCTAGAATTACTTACCTGAGTCATCTACAGCTCACTTATCCCTGGAATTACTTACCCGAGTCATCTACAGCTCACTCATCTCTAGAATTACTCACCTGAGTCATCTACATCCCACTCATCCCTGGAATTACTCACCTGAGTCATCTACAGCTCACTTATCCCTAGAAATACTCACCTGAGTCATCTACAGCTCACTCATCCCTAGAATTACTCACCTGAGTCATCCACAGCTCATTCATCCCGAGAATTACTCACCTGAGTCATCTACATCCAACTCATCCCTGGAATTACTCACCTGAGTCATCTACATCCAACTCATCCCTGGAATTACTCACCTGAGTCATCTACATCCCACTCATCCCTGGCATTACCCACAATCTCTATCACTTTATTTGCTAGTCTGTTACAATTAGTTATCTGTTGCTGCAATGAAGAACAGAAATAAACAAGTCAGAAGGTTTGATTACAACTAATTTTATATAAATTATATGATAACCGATACAGTAACATTATAGCATTACAATGACCATTACTGATAACTGATACAGTGACAATATAGCATTACAATGACCATTACTGATAACTGATACAGTGACAATATAGCATTACAATGAACATTACTGATAACTGATACAGTAACAATATAGCATTACAATGACCATGACTGATAACTGATACAGTGATAATATAGCATTACAATGACCATTACTGATAACTGATACAGTGACAATATAACATTACAATGAACATTACTGATAACTGATACAGTAACAATATAGCATTACAATGACCATTACTGATAACTGATACAGTGACAATATAGCATTACAATGAACATACTGATAACTGATACGACAATATAGCATTACAATGACCATTACTGATAACTGATACAGTGACAATATAGCATTACAATGACCATGACTGATAACTGATACAGTGACAATATAGCATTACAATGACCATGACTGATAACTGATACAGTGACAATATAGCATTACAATGACCATTACTGATAACTGATACAGTGACAATATAGCATTACAATGACCATTACTGATAACCGATACAGTAACATTATAGCATTACAATGACCATTACTGATAACTGATACAGTAACATTATAGCATTACAATGACCATTACTGACAACTGATACAGTGACAATATAGCATTACAATGACCATTACTGATAACCGATACAGTAACATTATAGCATTACAATGACCATTACTGATAACTGATACAGTGACAATATAGCATTACAATGACCATTACTGATAACTGATACAGTAACATTATAGCATTACAATGACCATTACTGATAACTGATACAGTGACAATATAGCATTACAATGACCATTACTGATAACTGATACAGTGACAATATAGCATTACAATGAACATTACTGATAACTGATATAGTGACAATATAGCATTACAATGAACATTACTGATAACTGATATAGTGACAATATAGCATAACAATGAACATTACTGATAACTGATATAGTAACATTATAGCATTACAATGA